GATACACACGCGCCAGCAGCTGTTCTGCCCCTCTCTCCGTCCGTTTTCGTGTGTTATTACCGAGAATGGTATATGAAGGCTTGAATCCCCTCTTTATTTTGTGAATATATGCGTGGTGATGGGGTCTTTAGTTTAAATTTCATGTTAAGGTTAATATGTACTCCCTCCTATTTTTTTTAAATGTCATTCTAGCTTAATCAACTATTTGTCAAATAAATGTCGTTTTGGATCTTTTCTACATATTTTTCCATTATTACCCTCATTTAACTAATAAATACATTACGTCTTTCCATATTCACTCTTCATTTTTTCTCAAAGCATTCATCTCTATCTTCATTAAATAAGGTTATTATTGACAAAAAAAAAAATTCTTAATCAACGTGTAACTTCTCAAAACGACATATATTAAAAATAGGAGCTAGTATGTGTTATGTGAAGTTTTGTGAACCATGTTATATTGTGTTAAAATCTTGTTAAATCATGTTCAGTAGATGTAACCCCTTTGTTGACTAAGAAGAAACCTAAAATGCATCACATCAGACCATTGTATTCAAATATTCCGACCTAACCAAATTAGCCAACAGATGGGCTTTAGCTCTTTTCTTATCAGAGATAATTAGCCCGCACTATGATGGGCTCTAGTATATTTCTGGACCTACATCCAAAGTCCAAACAATAGAATGGGCTCAAACAACATTTTGTGTTGTTTCACTACTCCACTAATATTTTCTTTGTTCATGTTTGGTATTATTTTTTTTATTATTATTTGTTGTCATATAATATCATTATTATTGTTTATAAAGTTAAAGAAATAGTCATTTTTTTTATTATTTTAATTAACAAAAAAATATTTAAATGCTTATGTATAAACTGGGAAAATGACGATCCCTACAAAACTCTAATAAAGCCTGCAATGCATTAAATGCTTGTGTATAAATCGGAACACATCATCGCTCAAACCACCTAAACTGGTCTTGTCACTGGAAAAATATGATGGCGCCGGACCCAACAAATCTTGCATTTCGCTACATGGCATGTGTTTAGTCTATGAGGTTTCCCCAACGTCATCATGACACCTAACCTTTTTCATATATAAATAGGGTCCATCACGCCTCGAGACTGATCAAGCACGTTTTAAAACCCAATAATACAAAAATTCTCATTTCACCGATCACGTTGATCGGCCCATCGCATCCCGTTTCATTGTTGTTTTCTTAATTATTGACGTTACTCATACTCAATTACCACACCCACTCTAATAAGCTCATTTGACAAATTATACTGCCAACAAATTAACGCTAGAGTGAGGGGCCAAACCCTAGTTCTATTAAAACCTCAATACAAAATCTTCAAAATTTTCCATTATTTCGTCACCATGTCCAATTCACAAGACACTAGACATCCCAACAATATCACTCGCCCTCACCTCGATGTTATCGACATCATGGGCAATATAGTGCCCCGATCAATTAATAAGAGCCAATTTATTTTTATTCTTGTAATTGTATTTCATTTATTTTGTTAGCTCGACTAAAAAAACTAATAAGCTAATTGAATTATCTAGATGTCCTCATTTTCTTATATTACTAAAATTATAGTAATTCTTTAGCTAAGAAAAATTAAATTTGTTTTGTGTCCAAGTACATCTGTAGTGCCTCGTTCGATTTATATGACTTTCTCGTATTTATTTGTTTATTTGCTTGCAATTATATAATTATTTTCTTTTATTTCATGTTATTAATTGCTCGCATTTTAATTATTATAATTGTCTCGTTTATTTTAATTGCTCTTGTATTATTATGTGACTTACTTTATTGTTATTGTTATGTGTATGGCTATGTTTAGATTAATTTAATTTATTAGTTAGATCGTCTGAACTATTCGTTTACTCGCATAAGATTAATTTTGAGCCTTGAGTTTGATACTTAGCCTTTTTCAAATCTTGTCCGGGCCGG